TAATTGTCAACTCTCATCCTTTGGGAGGGATTTCTGCTTTAACCCAGCTGGCTACTCATTGCAGCCCAACGGCGGAATCAATCGATAGCCTGTTATGACTCTCGGCATATTGAATGTCAGTGCAGATGCTACGGCTGTTCACATAAATGCCAGATCTTGTGAAGGTCACTCTTGCCTTGGGCTCTGGCCTTATCGTCGGCGCTTTGCTGGTGTTCTCAGATGTCCTGTGTGAATCCCTCCCCCTCCCCCTCGGCATCCTCAAGCTTGCCCTTTTTGTCCTGGTCCCCTGGGCGCGAGAAAGCTGGGGATTCTTGAAGACCTGGCATGCAGACAAATCAGCCATCAACAGGCACATAGGGATAAACCAAATCAGCCATCAACAGGCACATAGGGATAAACCAAATCAGCCATCAACAGGCACATAGGNGGGGCGATATGCTGACTCTGTAAACCGCTTAGAGAGGGCTGAAAGCCCTATGAAGCGGTATATAAGTCTAACTGCTATTGCTATTGCTAAAACCAGGGACAAATCCTCAGGTTGGGAAGGCCGCTTCTCCTAATTGAGCCACGCTTTGAATCCCGAACGTTCTCCGTTGGATAATGTGCCGTTTAGTCGATCTTTGCACAGAAAGGCATGGCGATAGATTAAATGTGGCTGACGCCTAGGCTCGCTTTGCTGCGGCTTTTCGGGGAACAAAAGGGATCAATATTTATTAGGGGCAGAGAGCAGGGCTGTGCAGGAGGCACATTGATCAGCCTGTCAGCGGAATCCATCCAGGACCTTATATATCTTCTCTGCGATTTGAAAGAGCATGGACGGCCATAGGGAGGAGGAGTGGGGGGGCAGAGTGACCTCAAGGAGGCAGGCAGAAGGGGCAGGGAGGGGGAAATGGGCCACTGTCTAGAGAATTGCCCTGCAGCTGTTGCATCTGGGGTGAAAGGCTAGCTTGGACCCACCCACCCACTTTGGATGCAGCATGCACGTTTCCAAGCTTCCCCGAAGAGAATTAGACTTGGCGTGTTTCTGAAAGTGGTCCTCGTGGTCTTCTGCAGGAGAGGGAGCAGCGTGTCTTCTCCGGTGGAAGATCTCCAGCTCTTCTAGCAGATGAGGCCCAGATCTTATGTACCCATCATAGCGGGTGCTCTCCATCACAGCAAACATCCAGAGAGCAGAAGGTCTCCAGAGAGAAGATCATCTCCAGAAGGAAAAGCTCTGATGATATGTCCATCATGGTCTTCAGCAGGAGAGGGAACAGCAGGTCTTCTCCAGGGGAAGATCTCCAGATGGTAACGCTCTGCTAGCAGATAATGTCCAGATTTTATGAACTATTATAGTAGATGATCTCCATCATAGTACATCTCCAGAGAGCAGAAGGTCTGCAGAGACAATAAGATCTCCAGAAAATCTCCAGAAGGAAAACCTCTGCTAGGAGATGAGGCCCAGATCTTATGTACCCATCATAGCAGATGTTCTCCATCACAGCAAACATCCAGAGAGCAGAAGGTCTCCATGGAGAAGATCATCTCCAGAAGGAAAAGCTCTGATGATATGTCCATCATGGTCTTCAGCAGGAGAGGGAACATCAGGTCTTCTCCAGGGGAAGATCTCCAGATAGCAAAGGTCTCTAGATTTCCACTGGATAATTGGCTATCCCACCTTTTCCACTGGAGATCTCCACTGCTAGCTAGAGATCTTTGCTCTCTGGAGACCAACTGCTATAAGGGCATACATTATATGATCTGGAATCACCTATCAGGGCTTTTCCACTGGAGATCTGCTGTCTGGAGAAGACCCATCTCCCAAATCAGAGAGATCTGTGACCAGTCATTGCCTCCATTGATTCAATGTGCCCACTTTCTTCCCCAATGTAGCTTATAACTGTTGTGGCCCACCAGTGGTAGCAGATTTGGACAGTGAGGAGGTTGGGGAGGAACCTGGGTCAGTCCTGGAGTCTGGGGAAGGCTCTGATGAGGGCTCTGTGTCGGAGGCAGAGAGGGGGCCAG